ACGATTAATAATATTAATTTTATAAAAACTTTCATTATGTTTATAATAAATGCATTTTATTTTAAAAAAAAATCTAAAATTCTATAGTAAAATTATCTCCTATAATTATATTCCCGATATTATTTTACAACGACATTTTCGATGAAAAAAAAAATTATTTCCAATAATAATATTTCCGATATTATTTTAAAACGATATTTTCGATGAAAAAAAAAAATAATGTACGATTAATAATATTAATTTTACAAAAACTTTCATTATGCTTGTAACAAATGCATTTCATTTTAAAAAAAATCTAAAATTCTATAATAAAATTACCTCCTACAATTATATTCCCGATATTATTTTACAACGATATTTTCGATGAAAAAAAAAATTATCTCTTACAATAATATTCCCGATATTATTTTACAACGATATTTTCAATTAAAAAAAAACAATGCACGATTAATAATATTAATTTTACAAAAACTTTTATGCGAATAAAAAATGCACTTTAAAAAAATTTTCGAATGCAAAGGATTAACGATATTATCAATCGTGCGCGGGCCTCTTAATATTTTTGCACAGTACTGCAAGTTCAGGAAACTCGAAGAAGAGTACATACTTGTACGCGCGTCGAAGAGCGAATGAGAAATTATCGCGGTGTGGCAACCTTTTATTTGACGATTGAAACACTTTTGTAAATATACTTTCTCGACAGACATATATCCGAGTTTATAAACATATGGATATATAATCCGTATATATCTATAAATTTGACACGTTTCGACGACTCGTGTCGAAAACATAAACGTACGTAAATTTCGTGAATTTTGTATTAAGTTTCCCACGGTTCGTAAACTTTCTGCAAACTTTGTAAATTTTTTTTTATAATATCAAAATGCATAAAAAAAAATGCAATTTAAAGGAAAGTAAATTAATTTTTTTTATGATGTATTTAAAAAAAGAGAATACTATGAATGAATTTATTCATTGAGTAAGTTATTTTATTTTATCATATGTGTCATGTTTATATTTATTATCTTATCGTAATATTGATACTGTAATTATCTAATTCGTCTAAACGACAGATTTCAATTTTTTACAACTATTAAAAATGTGCAGATATTTTTGATTTTGACAAAATTGATATTGACTTTTAACGAAATAAATTATAAAAATAAATTATTGATCTATATTTATTTTTTTCCAATTGAGATTATAATTTTTTTGTATTTTATTTTTTATATTATTTTATTTTTTTAGACTGTCTTAAATGAGATTCGAGGTGAACTACTTACTATGAATTTAATCTGCAACTAGGATAGAATAGTATTAAGTGGAATAGTAGAAATTTGAGTAACCGTAACGTGCTCTGTAAAAAATTCATCATTTGGAATTTTTAGTTTCGTCATATATTTATATTTGCCACTATATTATCGTACTAAATTTTTTACTCTTACAATAGAACGAGAAATTGATGAAACATTTTATTGCAAATATTTTCCTATCTAGTAGATATAAATATTTCATTGAATAATAATTTAATAACGAATGATAAACCTGATTTTTTTCCTCTTTTCTTTTTCAAATAAAGATATTCCTAATTTTAAAAAAAAACAACAAATAATTTAGTCAAATTATTATATTATATTGAATTATAATTAAATCATATTGTAAATATGATATAATATTTTTAGAATGATATCATATTTTTAGAATAAAATTGGAATCAAGTATTCGTTATTAAAAATATTAAAAAATATTACTAAATGAGAAAAATTAGAAGGAGATTCTATCGATAATTTTGTTACTTAACAATATATATACAATAAAAGCAAAAATTAAATAATTTTTCATTATATTGTTTAAATTACGAGAAATTCTCTGTTTTGTTAATAAAGTTAGTTTAAAGTTAAAGTTGTTAATAAAGTTTGCAAGAAGGAAAAAAATTTGAAAAAAAACATTTTTATACAAAATTAAAATAATAATTTTAATAAACTAGAAAAAATGAGAATCTCTTAATCTAAATCAGAAAATGGAAGAGTACAAACCCTGACCTTTTTGGTGCGAAAAAGAGCGACGATTGTGAAGAGATTGCCGGGGATGCCAATAAGCATGAAAAGTATGCAACAACCGGCAGCAAAGTGCAAAAGCCATCGTGGATATCCGACGAACAGTACCGCCGATCCTGGATCTGTGAGGACCTCCTGGATTGTCTCCTCTCTACCATTGTGACCGGTCTCGTTGCTCGCCATCCAATACTCCATCTGCAGACAGCATGGTAGACAGGTGTCGTTTTGCACAGGAGCGTAAAAACTGGACGCTTGTAAGCCACCATCACGGATAAGAAGAGAATTTTTTTTATTGAGTTAAAAAAAACAAGTTTCACACATGTGTTTATGAAATATATGGGAAATTTAATAGAGTGTAATGTAATAATGATATGTTGATAAAAATTAAAAAAATTTTTTAATACTTAAAGGAACGTGAAGATCAACGATATGCAGATCGAGAAATCGTGAATTTTAAAATTTAATTTTATCGAAAACGAAATGCAGAATAAAAAATTAATATTTTTTTTTTATATAATAATATAAATATATATACCTCCAGGATGTTAATTGTGTTTGTGGAATAAATCTTTTACAGACGAAAATAAAAATTTAGAAAAATTGTTATACAAAAAGAAAAGTTGAATTGAAGTTAAATGAAAAAAAGTAATAGAAATATTTCTGTTCTGTAATCACATCACCATCTCGTTTCATTTAACGAAAACAACAATAAACAAGTGTTCAACCATCAATTTTTGTGTTTGTTTGCTTCTCTATAATAATTAAGGAAACACCTGACAAATATATTTCACACCCTGTATTTTTAATATCAATTTGATAAGTGATAGTATAATTAGCAAAAGCAGAACCGCTCCCACAATGATGACAAGATCGAATGTGCATGTGTATACAGGATGTGAAATCCGATATAGTATATTATTTGCGAAACATACCTATTTGTTCATGACACACCCATTTAATTCGCATATCTTTAAGTAGTTTTATTATTCAACTCAAATGTTCAATTAATACACGTTTATAATTTTACAATTTTACGTAAAATAATCGAGTCATAATTATATATATTGTAATTCGTTTAAAATTTAAAATTTATTTATGTTACCAAAATATTTAAACATTATATTTAAAAGTGATTTTACGTTAGCTATTTAATACGTGAATTAAAATCATTTAATTTCATCTAGAAAAATGCTCTTTCTTTCTTTTCTCTGATCATTTATTTACTTTCTTCTTTTTTCGACATGATTTTTTTTTTCTTAATTTCCGAAAAAATATAACAAAGTTCTTTCGTTTCTTCTTCTCCACATTGAGTATCGAAGAGAAATCTATTTTCGCCACACGAAACGGTAAACTCTTTCAACCTAAGAGTAAACTTTACAATCTGATTTTACCTTCCGTTCAATTTGTGTTCTTAAGGGATCGCAGAGTTCAAAAGAGAATGTCTTTAAAATCTTCGTACATATCAAAGAAACTATGTTTAATAAGAGATAATCGATGTACAACTATTCTTTTAAGTCTCAACTTAATTATTTTAAATAATTAATATGATTTTCTTCTTTTTTTTTTACTGTGTTTAGATAATAAGGAAAAAATATAATATGAAATATAAGAATTTGATATAAACTTAATTTTTTAATTTTTAATTTTTAATTTTTAATTTTTAATTTTAATCAAATAAAAAATAATAATAATGGATTCATAGTATACATATTTTTTCGATTATTCAATTATTCAAATGAAAATTATAATTCCTTATTATTCAGTGCAATGTTACAAAATTTCACGATAAACGAACCAACGAATTCGTGTTTTGTCAGCTGTTTTAACTAACGTGAGCTCTTATCATCAGCACAATCCTTCCTTTCACACGAATCCTTACCTAGAACCAACAGGAAGAGAGCTTACCTTCGTAGAAAGTTGACGTTGTCATTGGTTCTGAATTCATTGATGCGAATCATTTGTTGCCACGAACAAAAGAAGACACTTTTATAACGAATTACATTTTAATAATCTTCTTTCCCTTTTTTATTTTATTATCATCTTATCTCTCACGATTAATTTCACTTAGATTCCGTCTAGATCTTCTTTATCAATGGAATTTCATTTTCTCGCTTTTCTTAAAAAAATTTCTGAATTTTTCACTTTTTTTTTTTATCATAAATATCGATAAAAATATATAACGAATATTTAAAACACGAGCGAATTATTTGTTTAAATCAAATAAGTCTTTCATTGATTCATATACACTGTATATTACGTTACATTTCATGTGATTTTTTTGAGAAAAGAAAATAAATATACAAACGATTCCTAGCGTGTAAAAAGAATTAGATGTATCATAAAAACGATGAAGAATTAAAGAGATTCGATATCGAAAAATTTAATGTGTTTTATTTTCACGATTAAAATTCCACCGGAAAGTTTTTCACTGCAAAAAAAAAAATCGTGATAGAAATCCGTATCTATTGCGGAATTCGGAAAGCGACTAACCGATTAACTGAATCATCGAATTTGCTTCCAGAGATGAGCTTTCTGGATCGTAATAAAGCGCAGGCGTGAGGTTAGTGTCCTTCACGAACAAGAGGAACATCTATTCCACCATGTGAAATTCTATTTTAGCGAGTTTCGAGAGAATCTCGTAAGTTTACGCGATGAAGTGTATATGCAAAGTGAACTATGCTTGATGAATGATCGACATTTAATACTGAAGCGTGCTCAATATTTTGTTTCTATCGATTAAGTAGAATTGGCAAAATTATTTAAAACACTTCAACTCTGTTTCTCTCTCTTTCTCTTTCTCTTTCTCTATGAAAACACTTATCGATTTAAGAGTAAAACTTTAAGAGAAACATATTGGAGAACATATAATAATTTGTTCGATCGAACGGTGTTGAAAGTGAAAATTACACTTTTGGATATAATCAATCTTTCGATGCAATAATCTGTTTGTAAAAAATATTCTTTTAAATAATATAAATGTAAACTTATTTCTATTATTTCGTACACTCAGTTCGAATCTGTTTCTAATCATTTATATTTAATTATTTAAAAATAAACCAATGGAATGAAAGGTAGTAAAGATTACAATCGTTAATATAAATAGAATCTATTTAACAAGATTTCTTCGTGAATTACAGCGGTCTCTTTCAATCTCGAGCTGTTAACAAATCCGAGGGCGGTAAGACATCAACAGTGAAATCAGTGAACTCGTTGGACAAACGACGTTTAACCACAACGTGGAGGCGTCGATTCTTAACAAGATGTATTACGAGTCTCGGTAATCGCAATTATGCTATCACAAAATATTCATAGATTTAAGCAAAAATTTCTTTCATTTTCGTAGCTTAATATAAACCTTTATTATATTTTACTTGTAAAATATAATAGTCATTATCAAATTATCTTAGATCATCTGATTTACAAGACCTAATTTATATATACGATGAAACGTGAAAGAATTATCGCTTCGAAGTTGAAGTGAAGTGATTTCGCTTGTATCTTTTAATAATCTAGAAAAATTTAATTTTTAAAAATGAGAATAAAAAAAATTTCGATAAAAATTAGAAAAAGAACAAATTTTCCAAATTATAAAAAAAAAATACAATCTTTCTCCCTTCATTTAAAAAAAAAATTGAAAAATTAAGAATATAAAAAAACAAAGTTAATAAATAAAAATAAATATTCAAATAAAATTACATAAAATCGTTCGTTCCAAGCAATGAAAAACTAATAAATTACAAAAAAATCATTATTCAAATTCTTTTACTTAAAAAAAAGAAATTGAAAAATTAAGAAAATCAAAAAGTAAAATTAAAAATAAATATTCAAGTAAAATTACGTAAAATCATTCGTTCCAAGGAAAAGGAGAAAAAGCACGCGGTGCGGTCTTCTTAAAATTCCGCGTAAATCCCTCGGTCCCTCTTTTTCCAAGGAGACTTCCGGCCCGGCCCAACATTACAAATCACGCAATCTTTATCCGCATGAAAGCTTCTCGATGTAGGTGTACATCGTGCGAGGAATGATTTATAGAAACGTCGCGCATCTCCGTATCCCCGATGCTTACTTTTAAAGCACCTACGCTTTATTTGAACGCACGCGTTCCATCCGCTTGAAAACACGACGCACACACACACACACACACACACACACATACCCGCGATCCCTACATCCTTTTTAAAAATAATTACATTTCGTTTACCGGGGCTAGCGGTGGTAGCATCGTGGAAAGGGGGATAAAAAGCGGTTGGGTCTTCGAGCGAGTTCGCAACGGAAGAGGAGGTACCGCGCCCCTAATAAAATCGGAAGTGCCACCGTTCTCCTCTCCTTTTATTTCTTTTTCTTTTTTTCTTCCTCCTTGGCGGGGAGGGCGCTCGATCGGTAAATGTAATTAATCAATTAAATCGGAAGTGTCCCGTATATGTGACACACAAGTGATTTTCAGGATAGGGGGTTAATTTAATTCGGTCTAAACCGAAAATATTATACGTACTTGGTTGGAGGATGGTTGCAACTAATTTTTAAGCAAAGTCTTAATGAGATTGAATAATCTTGGTAAAATGTCGAGTTAATCGCAAGACGATTATGCATAAATAAATAGTTTTGGAGTAATAATAACTCGACGAGTTTTATTATTATTACTATAAGAATAATATAATATTATACTCGTTACGTTAAAAAGCATTCATAAAAACTTTTCCCTTTCTTTTTGATTTAATCCAATTTAATTATCGCGTTAAAATATCTCGTAAAGAATTTACAATTCATTGTACAAATTAGAAAGCAGATACTTTCCCGTTAAACGACGCGTTTCCTCGAATATGACGTTCGTAGAAATTGTGATTCAGATCGATGATCGTTTAAAGTGCGATCGGATTGAAGTAGATACTATCATCGTTAAAGTGTTGTCGTTCGTATTATTACTCGTTGGGAGCGAGTACATATTGCCCCAGATTAAGCCTTAGAGTTACACCCCCATCTCTAATAAAAAGCAAACGTTTGACGATTTATTGTCAAGGGACCGCTCGTTCAGTCCCCTTTCTATAAAAACTTCGACCTAAATCGGTTTAATTTTCCGTGTGTCGACCACGTTAAACCGTAATAAATTCAAATAATCGATGCACACGACCGCGAAAATTTTAATCGATAAAAATTCGTAGATACGATCGATCTTTCGATCTATCTCGACGAATTAATGTGACTTTGGTTCCTGGCACCCGGATGCGGGTTTTGGAGAAAAACTCGTTTATTAGAAGTAAAAGGAATATTGTCGATTTTAAATTAACAACGCTTCTATAATAATCTACAAAGTTAATTATATAATTTTAATATAATTTTGATTTAATTCGTTAATATAAAGAAAGCGATTATTTTAAATAAGCCTCAGGAAGGAAATTTTATTTTAATAGTTATATCATTGGTTTTTTAAATATCTATTTTTTATTTAAGTTATCTAACAAAAATAATTTATATTAATGAAATTGCGAAAAATCACTTATCGATAATCCTTTGAAAGTCTAATTTTATTCTGTAATAAAAGTTTATGGACAGTTCAAAGTTTTTTTTTCTTTCTTTCTTAAAAAAAAAAAAAATTATACTTTTTCCCATTAGAAATAAAAATACTTAAAAATATATTAGAGATGTTTTTAAAGAAAAAAAAAAAATAAATAAACACTGGATTTTTCTCTTTCCTCATATATGATTACATTACATGTCAACACGCAGCCTGCATTTATGCTTGTCGTCATTCGCCTAAGTCCGATCCTCCTTCCCTCCTTCTCTCTCTCTCTCTCTCTCACTCCTCTCAACTTCTTTGGGCCCGTATCTACCATGGTAAGCAGTCTATCCGCGGTGACGGTGACGAACAGGCCGATTGTACGTCGCTCCGTCGCTTTCAGTTATCGTGACAATCGATTTCCGTTCTCTAGATCTCTATCGATAAAGATGTGTCACACATTCCTAGAAATCGCAAATTATTCCTCCGAGTAACGCTTCGTACTAGCCATCGTATTAATTTGATATATCGTAAAAAAAGTGAGCAAAGAAAAGTATCTTGATTATAAGTGATTGATCTTACGTTGACGTTACGTTATTAATTAATGAATTTCTCTGGATAAAACTACGTGAAACTATACTTTCTTTTCAACATTGTATTGCTCGAGATGCAAGAGGAATCAATTTTCCTGATGTATTTTTCGGACGTCAATCATTAGCTATGACGGATGATTCGTGAAAGGAATTAATGCGGTGAGTCAGAATCGAAACTCGCGTGTTTTTCTCTCTCTCTTTTTTTTTTTGTTTTTGCATCCTCGTCGATCCTATAACTTCCCTCCTTGTATTTTTATCGAGAAAAATATGAGAATGACGGTCGAGTGCAATTTTCAAGTGTCGTTCAAGTGTCGTTCGAACAAGTTGACGTGAGAAACGATAGTTGGCGAAGAGAGTTGTTGACGAAGCGAACGGCAATCGGTCTCGAGACATGTGCGTCATTTTGAGGACCAATGCCAAGATCGAGGCAAAAAAACAGACGCATGGGTTTCCTTACAGCCTTACCAACCTTTTTTGAAATGAAAAAAAGGCCACTACAATACGCGATACGCATGTTGCCAGTGTATCTTTCTCCTCCTTTTTCGTGCCATTTCTTTGTCACTGTCTCCCTAATCGCGGCTCTGTAGCTCCACAGACGAAGTGGTATAGCACGTGGTGTACTGTGGGCGGGTTTCGAATGTGTCACGACTCGATCGTAGCTTCGAACTTATCCCATTGAGGTGTAACGTGCGTTGACACGATATTTGTTGTGTTATTATTCAATCGATATCCATTGTTGTATTGTGATTTAATAATTGTAGTTATGAAATTGTTCAGGATTCTTTTTAATATTCTTCTTTCATCATTGTTTCTCATTTTCCTAGAATTAATTAGATTCTTATTCAATTTTGAAAATTTAAATTTAAAAAAAAATATGAAGATTTTTAATTCTTGTTACTTTTACAAATCGTTTTCATTATTATTCGAAATGATGGAGAAATTATATTCAACTTCTTCAAATTTATTATCCATCCGTTGATTTGCATAAGTCTGTTTTGCTTGTATTTAGCAAATCCCATTATGGAATATTTATAATGTTTTCGAAGGCATATTAGATACATTTGCATCTCTCGTTTAGAAAGCATTTCGCTCATAGTAATTATCGACATATAGATGCGAAAAATTTTAACCAACACCGCCACTTAACAGCGATAGTGTTCAATTAAAAGCAATCTAGAATTCTTGGAAACTAGCATGAATCCTCAATTGCAATGAGCATCTGTTCCATTTTCTAACCTTGTTCTTATTGTCTCGATACATTAACCCCTTGCACTTTTACGTCATCGCCATTAAGTTTGGTAAAATAATAAATTATAAATTGATAACGATTGATATAGATATGCATTAATTTTATTTTACATGTAAAAAAAAAAATATGATATAAATTGGTTAAGTTACATTCATAAATGAAACATTTACTAAACGTTTATATTTCTAATTAAATTATTATCTTTTTTGTTCGTAAGGTACATGTATTTAACTTGTATCTATAATAGTTGATATAGCACGTTACGTAACATTCTTATTACATGTAACTTAGTTTGAATTTTTGAAATATAATTCAATTCTTTTCTTTACTTTTGATAAAGTACGAAGATAAAACTATAAATTGATCGAATTTGAAGATAATCATACATATTCACTTCAAAAGTTTGAGATTAATTATTTAAATATTATTGAAATATCTAAATGGTTCATTTGAAAATCACACTTCACTCATTTATAATTATAAAAGTTTAAGATATCGATTATTAAAAACTTGTTTTGATATTAAATGTATTGTTTACCTGGTTTCTTTCGCGTGGGTGAGCTTTCCCTGAACTCGATGCACACGTATGAGAGCACTCACGTGTTACTCTCGAAATACGAGCGCTCGTAAATTTCAATTTGCATTCTGTATCAGTGCTTTAACAATATTAATACACAGCTAAGAATACGATCACTGTCTCAATAACGTGTAACAATTGTTTCCTTCTCCGGTTTCTTTTACCACAAACCAAGTGTTCACCTCTGACTTTGAACATATTTCTTAGAATGTGTTTAATCACGTTATCCTTCTTGATTATTTTTCCTCTTTCGTAATTCTTGCGGTTTCCATTTCTTTTTATTTTCATATCATAACACGCTGTGAATATTTTTTTTTCCTATCCTTAAAACAAGCGAAACGCGTTCTACCAATCCTGAGTCACTGTGTATGTTTTCTCTGAAATCTTTGAGTTTAACTAATCCCTATTTCTATTTTTAATTTCTTTCGAATCTTACCCTCATATTTCTTATTTCTTTTCAATTTCATCAAACTATTTCAATTTCATCAACTATGTCTAACTATATCAAACATCGCATAATTCTGAAAACTCATTCAATTTGTTTAACACAAGATTTTATTTAACAAACCGAGTTGTCAATTGACTTTTATTAAAATTAATATTACTTTTTATCTAGATAGAAACATACATATCTAATTACCTCCATAATGGTACTTTAATTTTAACCATCTGCGTATATAACATTTTGAGATAAATCTTAGTTCCAATCTTAGTTAAGGAACAATATAGCTTCATCATGACGAATAAATTTTTTTATCAGTTACCGATCGATTCACACTCGAGATGTACTCGAAAACAATCATTTAACAAATCATACATCGTATCTTATTCACACCAGACGCATTATTCATCCCGAAATCCAGTCTTGCCATGAATGGAAGCAGTCATCGCCCCGGAGTAAAAGTACATCGGCAATAAACAAGATAATCAGCCGATTTGCATGAGCGCAGCACGCGTGCCGATCGTCCCGCGACTCGTCGGGTCCTTAGACACTTTCACCGTGAGTCAAGTTGACTCATTCATTGCCATTCGCTGCGTGATTAACTTGGAAATCATTTGGTGACGTCAGCCGGTTCACCGCCGATTCTATGAAAGACAACGTGACGTCTTTGCCGCGGTTTTGTCACGCGTCAAGGTGTACCAGTGAAATACGAGAAATACGTACACCATCATCTCTTACTCTTGCCGGTAGCTCGAGTTGAACGCATCGGTGAGATAGAAATAGATGGAGCTGAAAAAGAAGCTCGAGCAATTTCCTCCTTACGACACGATCGAATATGCGAAGGTTCGTGCATACGAGTTTAACGAATACAAATTTATTCGTTCTTTGTTCTTTGAATTAAAATATGTTATCGAACTGATGTAATAGAGCATTAATGTATTCTATGATATTTCGAGGGTTGATTCGAAACGAACAGAAAAATTGGCGTACAAAATATCGATGTTTTGTGTTGGATAAATATGCTTATGACTTAATAAATATATTTTGCGTACCAATTTGTGAAATTATATATAATTTTAAATATTTTCAAATAAATAATTCTGGAACTAACACACAAGTTTCTTATAATATTGAGAAGATTAGAAGAATAAGAGAAGATTGCAGTTTTCTTGTAAAATATATTTTATACGCTTTGTTAATTAAAAATTTTATGCACAGTATAAAAAATGAAATAAAACGATTTTACTTACTTTCGAAATTATTTCGAAACAAGCATGCTGTTGAAAAAATTATTTATATCGTAAAAAAGAGGTAAAGGTTTAGCGTGAAAAGACAAGATAGAACAATGAGAAGATATTATCCGTTGTTGGTTCCCATGTCTGCCATCAATTTTGACGAGTTTTTTGTTACAAAGGGCGCCTAGTACCGGGTGTCCGTTAATTTCTCTTAATTAAGCTCAATCGAGGTTAATGCACCGCAGCTTGACCCTAGTTTACTAAATCCAGCGAAGTCTGAACCAGTCCATGGTTTCTTTATCGATATTGCATGACCTACCATATCTAAATATTGTGCTAATCATTCTAGATGTACACAAGGTGTACGTTGACAAATACATATGTTTTATATGTTAATTTAAAAAAAAAAGAGAGAGAGAGAGATTTTTAAATTTATTAATTATCGATGAATCTTATTATTAAAAAAATATATTTTATATCTTAGAGAAATGTCGATACCTGATGTTTATAATACTTTGTAAATGCATCAATGTATATGTTTAAAAAATAAAATTATTTCGTGATAAATTTTAATTTTTCAAAATTGATGATTTCTCATAATTTTCCACGAACTGTTGATTAAATTTCCTGCGCAATAATTGTGTAAATAGATCAAAATCGAATTAAATCGTTTTATCGAACAGATTTTGATTCGATTCAGGAAATTGTTTCAAAGCAGCGTCGTGACTTCCGCTTTACGTCATGCATTGCAGATCATGCCAAAAGTTTAGGTCGCGGTTTCCTCTTCGTGGGAATTCACGTTCCACGTTTATAATAGCGCGTGAAAAAATTATAAAGCAAAATTATATTGGCACGAATATATTTCTTTCGTTATTCAGAAAATAATTTATTTTTTCTACTATATTATTATATAACAAATTTATTAAAAAACATGTATATTTTTCATTTCGTAAAAATAGTAATTCTAAGATAAGTAAAATTATTTTCATAAAATCAATTTAAATGAAATTTTTTTTTCATAAGAACGTCTCATTTTTTTTTTATTATTATTTGTTTTAGTCCTCGGACGTGGTCAAAATCGAATAAATCTTTCACTTGGAACAAAGTGAAAATTTTCGAAATGGATAATTTTGCGTGGTTGTTACGTTCTGAAAATAGAACAGAAAGCGCAATAATCGATAGCGAAATATCAAGGTAACAAAAATTTTTATCAATAAAATCTTAAAAACAATTAATAAACAGTTATGTATAAAAATGAAATTTATTCAATTTTTTTTTATCAACTTATGCAATGCAATTTTTACTTACAGATTTATTTATTTTCTTTAATATTTAAGAATAATAATAATAAAATATATCATATAATTCATATCAATTATAATTATATGTAATATATATGTAATCTATAAAATATAATTCAATAAATCATTAGTTTATTAAAACAAGATACTATATTTATTTATAGATTTTCCAAACCGCTGAGAGCATTTGCAGCTGTAATTGCAATATTAATTATGATCACTGGCCTTATTGGTAATTTATTAACAATCATTGCATTGTGCAAATATCCCAAAGTTCGCAATGTTGCAGCAGCTTTTATTATAAGGTAATAATATAAAATTAATAACATAATAATAACATAAATACAAATAACAAAAAATAATAACATAAACTTACTTAATTACATAAAATCTCTTTTATATGAAACTTAATTTTTGTTAGAATATAATATTATTGTCTATAGTTTATCTATAATTATATTATCCATGATATTAATATTTTTATATATATACAATCACACCAAATCAAAATTTTGATTTATCTATCTTATTGCAGTCTCTGTGTAGCAGACTTCGTATTTTGCCTTCTCGTATTGCCTTTCGACTCCATCAGATTCGTAGATGCAAGTTGGGCAGACGTACGATTCTTCTGCGTCCTTGTACCTTTCTTGAGATATGGAAACGTTGGTGTAAGCCTTCTCTCCGTTGCAGCTATCACTATCAACAGGTATGAATCATATCTTCATTGCAATTTACATTCTTTTCATAATTATGTTTCTTCGAAATATTTTCAATAGTTTAAAAAATCTGAAAGATCTAGTTCTTATCTCGTTCTTATGTATTCTATGTACAAATGAATAATTTCAAATAACTTCAAACGAAAAAATTATATTTGTAATTTTAGTTTATTTTCACATGTAGAGTAAATCTCCTGTTTCGTTGTATCACGTGATTCTGGCACACCCTGTATACAAGTCCTCTTCAATCATCCGTTCAAAAAAGCAATAATCATGGTTCTACAAACAAATCGTCTTCTTTATTCTTCTTGGTTCTTTCTTTAACATTTTATTAGTTCTAAAATAGTCCACTGATATAACATTGGTCTTATTAGTTGGATCAGTTAGTTAAATTGTATTCTTTGTATCTAATATTATAATGCTATTAAAGTATCAATGTGTTCCTTGTTATTTTTTATCATATTTCATTAAATTAATAATAAATTCAATTGAATCAGTTTTTGATGACAGAGAAATTAGAATTGTTTCGTCAATTGAATCTTTTATATTGATTATTTATGAATTATTTTATATATACAAATTTCAAAAACTTTTTCTTATTTCAGGTATATTATGATAGCTCACAATGGCTTGTACAGCAAAGTTTACAAAAAGTATTGGATTGCTTTCATGATTGTATTCTGTTGGATTTTCTCTTATGGAATGCAATTACCCACCCTGTTAGGAATTTGGGGTAAGATATAACACATGGGATATAATATAAAATATAAGTGATTTTTTTTTTAAATGACAGAATGTTCATCATTTAGAAAAATAAAAAAAGTTTAAAATTGATTGCATCCAAAATACATAACTTTTGTGTTGTAATTTAAAATTTAAAAAATATACATCGATAATTGAAAAAAATTTTTTTTTTTTGAGAAAAAAATTTTATCCACAATTCCATCTTTCTTACTAAAAGCTTATTTTTGTCTCACGTTGCAGGTAGATTCGATTACGATTCGAATTTAGAAACTTGTTCGATCGTAAGGGATAGCAGAGGTCACACATCGAAAACGTTTCTTTTCGTGGTAGGTTTTGTAATACCCTGCCTGATCATTGTCGGATGCTATACTAAAATATTCTGGGTAGTACACAGGTGAATATTACACTATACATAATATCGTAATATCTTCTGTCTTGTGTTCACACTATTCTTAACTTAAGAATAATCGATGAAAAATATATAAAAATAAATTATATTTTCAAATTCGTATTCCTCCTTTGACTTGACCAGATCCGAGATAAGAATGCGAAAACACGCGAGTCCAACGATAAAATCCCCTCATACACCCGGAAGGGATACGAGAGAGATCAAACAGAGGCGTAGCGAATGGCGAATCACGAAAATGGTCTTAGCCATTTTTCTCAGCTTCGTCGCTTGTTACCTGCCAATCACTATTGTTAAAGTTGCCGACGTCGAAGTTAAATATCCAGGTATAATCAATTTTCAATTTTATTATTCCTAAAAAAGAATCTAAAGAAAATTGAAAGAAATATTATAATATATTCATTTATTTATATTATTTTTTCTTTCTCTTTCTCTCAGAATTTCACGTTTTGGGTTACCTGCTGCTCTACTTCGCCTCCTGCGTGAACCCGATTATTTACGTGATCATGAACAAACAATACAGGCAAGCGTACGCGGGCGTGATAGGATGTTCGCGGATAAGGGCGAGCCTTTCACCCTACGGAAGCAGCGCACCGGGTCATCATCACCAGCAGGACTACGGCCAAGGTAACTTCGAGCACCGTCGCGTGGTAACGCTCACCAAGCTCTGACCAAACGCGAGCTAAGCGACCACACCTCGCTCTCTTCGTAAGTCAAGGGCACAAATTCGCTGCTTTCTAAGAATGCGATTGGTTCCGCGGGCATGTTTCAGGCCTTTTTTTCTTTGTCGTCCTTATAT